CATAAAATTTTTATTATATGTACAGAATTTTGGAGAAATATTAAACTGCTTCCCTCTGTTCAGGGTAAGTGTACATAAAATTTTTATTATATGTACAGAATTTTGTAGAAATGTTAAATTGCTTCCCTCTGTTCAGGGTAAGTGTACATGAATTTTTATTATATGTACAGAATTTTGTAGAAATGTTAAACTGCTTCCCTCTGTTCAGGGTAAGTGTACATAAATTATTTTATTATATGTACAGAATTTTGTAGAAATATTAAACTGCTTCCCTCTGTTCAGGGTAAGTGTACATAAATTTTTTATTATATGTACAAACTTTTCTCTTGTATAAATTAACTTTTGAATATAATTAAGTAAACAATTCAGTGGAAGTTAATTCTAAAAATATTAGGTTTAAATAAAAATTAGTTAATCATAGTAAAATAAAGTATATTGATGGTAATTGTTACGTCTTGATAAAATAAACACTTATGTTACTCAAGATTTCATTTAATCAAAATATTAATATTAATAACATTTAATAAAAAAAATGGATTACCAAAAACACATGCTTCAAATTTTGGGGCTGTGATGGAGCTATAAGAATGACAGTTAAATCCCTCTTTTCAGTAAGACAATATTAGCTCAAGAGTTGCAGTGGGTGCTTTCCCTTCATGTGTAGATAACTCGTTGTAGCTTGTGGAAAAATTATAAAAGACACAATTTTTGAAAATATGTTTTGGTGATGTCATTTCGTCAGATTTGCTCTGGCTTTGACCATATAGTGTTACATTAGACAGAGCCATGCTTGTATGGCATTCATCAAGGTAAATACTTGCCGTTTTCACTTCTTTCTTTAGTTCCTTTTATAGAGACACCAGTTCTTTCTGAAATGTGGTGTTTCTAAATTTTAATGCTGTATTTTGATTCAGAAGTTTGCCAGACACGGACTGTTTTCCAGGAAATTATATTTCTGCCCAGAAGTTTTTTTTTTGACTAGGATTGCATACAATGGTTAATTGGCTAGAATGTTGTTGTTGCGTATAGTATTTTATTAATGTTAATGCTGCTTTATTCTTGTATCTCCCTCTCCTTTACTATATTACTCTGTTAATCACTGTTTTCCCACACATACTGAATCAAGTTTATTGATGTCATAATTTGCAAGGTTTTATCATTAAAAGTGCATAAGACTGTTTGCTGTGTTTGAATGAGTGAAGCAGGTTTTCTGTAGTTTTTATTTGTTGATTTATCATTTCTTATTTCATCTCAGCAATTCAGTCAGTGAAACCTTGCTTCAAAGATAAATGTACTCATCTTTCACATATTTGTATAGTTAAAGACAATATTGTTTTTTATTATAAGTTATTGATATTGGAAG